TGGAAATAGTTATGAAATAGAAATTCACCCCCTCCCATACTTAACATTATCTTAAAACAAATTCCAAGAATTAGAATTACTAAGGTCTGAAGAATTTTAAGGCTTTTCCTAAATCGTTTTTCAAATATGCTAACCAAACTGGATTATCTACCAGCAAGTATGGAGGTATTCATTTCAGTAGAAATTCAATGGCAGAGGATAAGTCCCACCTTCTCACCTGTTAATTGGAAGGAGAATTTATTATTTTATTGATTTAATTTGCCTCTCTTTGATTATTACTAAGACTGAATATTTCCTTAATGTAATGTTTTATGAATGGCTTGTTCGTATCCTTTGCTGATTATCTATTGGTGTCTTTACTGGTTTTCTTATTGATTTTTATGCACTTTCAGAGAAATGTATTAATCTTTATAGTCACATATGTTGAGACTTGTTTCTCACAGTTTACTGTTTGTCTTTTATTTATATCAATTTCCAATTGTTTTCAAAATGAAATAAACTAGACTTCAGAAGTTGTCAACCTAGAATCATTCTGGCTCTTAAGTATACTCCTTCTCAAAGAACAGCCATGTAATTAATTGCCTCTTAGTAAAGTTAGATTAAGAAAATAACTATAAGGTTTGAAATGAATTAGGAAAAAAAGAATATTTAACTCTCTGACTGAGTTTAGTAATGTAACAGACGTTTATTCTCTTCCAATAGAAAGTCATTTGGAGAAGACTTGTATTTGTTTTTAATTTAATTGGCTGCATGTCTGATCTCCTACATGCATAATAGAATAAAAACAACCATTTGACATTTGCCATATTAATAATAGGTTAAAAAGAATTAACCAGAAAGACTGTGATTTGTTAAAATGGCAAAGAAAGACAACATTCCATTCATCAAAGGGTAAATTTCAAAACTATAATGGTAATTTCAAACTCTGAGTATAAAACATAAAAATCATTGGTTGCAGTAGTCGTCTTTTCAATACAGCCTCCAACTTTCAAGTTTTTGCGTATCTCTAGAAAATTGGTAAGTAAGTACGTAAGTCTCAAAGCACCCCTAAAAGATTTTTCAAAATTTAAATGTTCTAACCTAATGTACCAAATAGCAGCTCCAAATTATCCAGAATATTTTTTAGGAGGATCAGCTACTATAAAAGAAGACATTATATTCGCACAATTTTAACCTTTAGGCACAATATATTTATCTTCACAAATGTATATCAAGTTATCAAAACATTTTAAAGGGAAGTTTGGGTGATTCTAATGATTCCTACCAACTTCACTACTTTTTCATGTTTTACCTAAAATTCACTTGTCCACATAAATAATATGTTAAAGTGATAGTGAACGCATAATTCCACTATTTCACAGATTTGGCAAAAGAAGACAAATACATTAGAACTTTACACACAATTTCCACAATTGCTATGGCAGAGATTGCTAGTGATCCCCTCAGTATTCACTCCTCCCTCTTCCACAGTAACAGAAGTGCTGATTTTCGGTTAGTATATGGCCATCTGGAAAAAAGATCAATTCTCAGTCTCTGTTTTAGCTAGAGGTTACCCTGTGATTGAGTTTTGACCACCAAGAAAGTAGGCAGAAAACATTTTGTGCAACTTGCAAGAAGAGTTTTTAAAAGGAAGGAGTGTGCTCTTTTTCTTTCCCTTGCACCATCCTACAGCTGCAGTGCAGGTGTGCTATCAAGAGCAGCCATTTTGGGCTACAAGGCTGAAGCATTGTAATGAAAAAAGTAGAGCAAGAGGCAGAATGAGCCTGAGTCTTGACAACTGCAGAGCTGCCATACCGAATCCAGACTGCTTGTGCTTACTTGAAAAAGAAATAAATGTCTATTGTGTTTAAGACACTATTAATTTTTAAGGGAGTGTCATTCCAGATAATCTTCACCCCAATTAATGCAACTTCCATAGCAGAAGATGGTAATAAGCAACTACTAAAATCACAATAAATTGTATGCTAGATGTATTAAAAGGATTTAATTCAGAAGATAAAATAATGTACTTATTAAGAGCCCTGGAGTCTAACAAACTTGGATTTGGGCTATGGCGGGGCATTTATTACTTAACTAACTGCGGGCACATTCCTTATTCTCTCTAAGGATCAGTTTCCAATCAATAATATGAGAGAGTTATAGTAATTGTAGTGATAATTAGAATGAGATAATGTATGTACAATATGAAGCACAGGCACAACGTACGCACTCGAATATGTTATATCATCATTCCTATGAAATAAATAAATAACTTATCATTCGTGTTATTTTTAATGAGTTAACATAGGAACTATATCACTCCCCAACAAAGGCTTCTCTTATATTAATCAGAAGTGCTCCTGAGTTATGTAACTTTTCAAAATTGTTTTCTTGATGGAGAGTAAAGAAAATTTAAGGAGATTAAGAGGAAGTCCATCTGTAAAATGTGTTTCTATTTCATATACTTATTATGATTTAAGAGTACTACCAACTTAAGAAGTTGTTTATTAACTATCAGTGACGGACTCAACTTTACACCAAAAAAGTGCTACCATTTATATTTTAAATCCAAATGTTAGAAAATGTGTATCTTCCTGTAATCTAAATTCAGATTACTTCTTCCTTGCATACAGAAATGAGTACCATTAATTTTTTAAAGAGTTGCTAAACACTCTTCTCTATGGATTTTATTTATTCTGGTTTTTAAAAATTCTTTTCCTTTAGGGTCTAAACAGTTAAGTATACACATGTCATTTATTTTCTTAAATACATTTTATTTAACCTAATATATGTAAAATATCATTTCAACATATAGGAAATATAAAAAAGTATTAACAAAATATTTTCCATTAATTTCTATGTACTAAGTCTCAGAACTCTAGCATCTATTTTATACTTAGAGCACACCTCACTTCAGATGCTAAATTTTCATAATAATATTTCATCTGTATTTATATTTCATCAAGTTTACAGTTAGAAAACATATACTAAGATACTCAAGTTGTTCCAAATATACTTAAAAGTTTTCCCCAAAACTGAATTAAGTACTAAAAAAATGCTTCTCCTTTCATATTTACATTCACAGTGACAAAACCAGTTCATTTCTTTTAGTATAATTCATTTGACCTTCAGTAATCAGTTATCCGATTCTGCAGTTATCAGTGTAGAGACTACATCTATCCAAGTTAAGTTAATCACTCTTATGTTAAATCAGCAGTATTAACATCGAATCCAAAGAGGTACTGCATAAATTGAAAAGTAATTATAAATTAATCAATATCAAAAATTGTTCAAATGTATGTTATAGTGTCTGTAGTCAATTCAAATAACATTGTCAATTATAATTAAAATCTGCATATTAATTCATGTTAAAATCTGTAAAATCATTATTAGTGATTTGTTTTACAAAATGTTTGTTTTCACAAAAATTCTTGGGTCTATCTGTCTACGTCACAAATAAGGTCTTTCCTTCCTTGGAGTTTCAAATTTAATTTGTTCACAGAGAGTACGATATCAGGGAGAAAATGTAAAGCACACCGAGATTTTTTGTCATTTCAGCAGGACAAGGATGGAAAGCAGAGTTCTGTCCACACAGTGTACTACAGAGGGGCGCTGCCACAATAATGTGTGAGGGCAGGAGGTGGCAGTGTGGAAGTCAGATTCTCCCCGCACAGGTTCAGCTGGGGAGAACACCACCTTATTACTGCAGAGGCAGTGGAAATCAAGAGCTCCAACCACAAGTTCCTCTGTGAAAGGATGCTTCTTCCTTACTTCAGAACACAGGAGGAAGTCAGAGTTTTGCCCACAGAACTCTACAGGGCAAGGGAACCACCTTGTTAATATTGAGTAGTTGTGAAAGCCAAAGTCCCACCCGCAGGCTCTGCTAAGGAGAGGTGCCACCTTGTAACTGCTGGTGGGGTGGAAGTCAGAATCCTCTCTACAGACTCCACTGAGGAGAGGTACTGCTATATTACTGTAGAGGGGAGGGGTAGAAGCCAGAGTTCAGCCCACAGGCTCCAATGGAGAGGGACATCTCCTTGTTACTGCAGGTGGGGGGAAGGGTGTGTGTGTAAGAGCTCTGGCCACAAATTCCACTGCTACAATGCCTGTTGGAGTGGGAGGGAGCGCAGCTTTTTTGTGACATTCTCCTAGAGAATAGGCAGGATAAGTTAAAAGGTTTCTGTCTTGTTGGGTCATCCTTTGGCTAGAGAGAACAGGCTTTCCTTGGTGCTATTTTTTTGTCTGCACCCAGAGCATTTCCAGGTTGTAGGATTCTCTAGAGCCCAGGCCAGGACATATGGGAGGCAAGAAAAAACAACAATCAGGGAATTCCCTTAATCCTTAAATCCCAAGGTCCCTAGTCAGTCCACCTTCTTTCTCTAATTTTCAGAGTTTTCATGGGTTTTATCCATGATTTTTGTTTTGATGACTAGGAGGAGTAAAATAGAACGTATTTACTCCATCTTGTTCGAATCCAACCCTGTCACTTATTTTTAATCTAGATTTTTTGTCTCTTACCACTCTCTGTAAATTTCCAAAGCATATGGACTGGGTTTTTATCAATCTTTCTATTAATTGTTAGCCTAACAAAAAGTGTCATACATGATGTATCCTTTAAGCTTAGTAGCTGCTAAGAAACTGTTGATACAACTTCTTGGCCTTTACCATGAGGTTCACAATGTAACTCTCATGTTTGTTCACTCATTCAATAAATACTTGTTTTATGAAAGCTTCTGGGGATACAGCAATGAGTAAGACAGCTAAAATGCCTGATGGTATGGAACTTACATTCTACTGACTGGGATAGGATAGAAGGACTGCAGGCACATGAATAATGTGTCCTCTTCAGGTTGGACAAAGCTCAGTCTACTGTGTTTCAGTGAATATTAGGAACATACATTTGAAAAACTGCAAATATTCAGAAATCTAAAAATCTGCAATTGGCGTAAGTAAGATAATTTTTTTTTCACTTGGTACAATGTAACTCTAATGCTCTAGTAAACTAGTTATCGACTACTTACCACGTAAAGTTGCTTCCACAGACTGGCCCATTCCTGTAGAGTTGCTGTAACCTCAGTCACAATAGAATCTTCGAGTGGAACCACAGTTTCATACTGCCTAGAACCAGAGCACAACAAACAGCCACATTATCTTTGATAAAACACCAGAACACTATCTACTGCCCTTTCCAATCTGTGTAACTCAAATTTTAAATTCATGCAAACATAGAGAAGTACATCTAATTGATTAAAGACGCTTTTGCAGTAATACACTGCAATAGTGTCAATGAACTGAATAAATATAAAAACATTTCGGTTTTACTATATAAATCCTCAATCTTACTTTTAGAAATACTGTCTTTAAGAGGAAGTAGTTCAAGATTAAAGCATAGGAAGATCCCGAACTCACTTCCTCCCACCAACACATCAAATCTGTAGCAACGTATAGAACAATTTCCTCTGAAAAAGATCTAAAAACTAGCTGAACAGCTCCTCCACAACAAAGAATAAAAGGGCCACATCAAGACTGGTTGGAGAGGTAGAGACACTGTCTTACCAAAAACCCCACCACCCAGGGCAGCAACCCACAATTGGAAGAGATCTCACAAGTACGGAGCTTCTCCCTGAGGAGCAAGGGGTTCAAGCCCCAACATCAAGCACTCCAACTCTTAAGACTTGCACCAGAGAGATGAGACCCCAAAACACCTGGCTTTACATCCAAAAGACCTAAAGGACTGTAGGAAACAAATTCCACTCTTAAAGGGCTCATGCATAGACGTACTCACTCACTCGCACTTAGCCCTAGCACAAAAGCAGCAGTCTGGCAAGCACTTAGACCATATGTGAAGGAGAATCATTTCCTAATCTTAAAGTGTTTGCAGAGGGACAGGGGTGTGTTGGACCTCTCTCCAGGGACAAAAGCACTGGTGGGCAACATTTTTACATTCTCCCTCTACCCTGCTCGCACAGGCAGTCTGGCTCCACCCCTGCACTCTCCCACAGCCTGCTAAATGCCATAAGCTTGCCCCACCCCTGTGTTATCCCTAGAGCCCTGCCAAAGCTGACAGGCAGGCACATGCCAGCCTGGTGCTCCCCTGTGTCCTTGCCTGAGCCAGGAGACACCCTTTGAAGGCCTGGCTCTGGTGGCCAGTGGGGCTTGCATTTCTGAGTCCCACAAGACTGAAATAATCAGACAGTTATTGGCAAGCTACTACCCCAAGGGCACCACAAAGACAACAAACTAAAACACACCCCCAGTCCTCCTATGATTACTTCTTGAAGACTGGAAGAGGTAGCTGTTTCACCTAATACATAAAGACAAACACAGAGAGTCAAGCAAACAAAGGAATATGTTCCAAATGAAAGAACAAGATAAACTCCTGAAAAAGCCCTTAATGAAACAGAGATAAGTAATTTACCTGACAAAGAGTTCAAAGCAATGGTCATAAAGATGTTCACAAATCTTGAAAGAATGAATGAACACAGAGAGAACTTCAATAAAAAGATTAAAAGTATAAGAAAGTACCAAACAGATGTCACAAAGCTGAAGAACACAATAACTGAACTGAAAAATACACTAGAGGGAGGGGCCGGCCTGGTGGCACAGTGGTTAAGTTTGTGCACTCCGCTTCGGCAACCCGGAGTTCATGGGTTCAGATCCCGGGCGCAGACCTACACACCACTCATCAAGTCATGCTGTGGTGGTGTCCCATATATAAAATAGAGGAAAACTAGCATAGATGTTAGCTCAGGGACAATCTTCCTCAAGCAAAAAGAGGAGGATTGGCAACAGATGTTAGCTCAGAGACAATCTTCCTCACCAGAAAAAAAAAACAAAACTACTAGAGGGAATCAAAAGCTGATTAGGTGAAGCAAAAGAAAGGCTCAGCGATGTGGAAGACAGGGCAATGGAAGTCACCCAAACAGTAGCAAAAAGAAAAAAAAAAATTTAAGTGAAGATATCTTAAAGGACCTCTAAGATAACATCAAGCAGAACAATGCTCACATTATAGGAGTCCCAGAGGAGAAGAGACAGAGGGACAAAACCTTACTTGAAGCAATAATGGCTGAAAAATTCCCTAACCTGAAGAAAGAAAGAGACATGTAGAACCAGAGAGCCCAGAGACTTCCCAAAAGAATGAACCCAAGGACACTCACACCAAGACACATTATAATTAAAATATCAACAGTTAAAGAGAGAATCTTAAAAGCAGCAAGAGAAAAACAACTTTTTACATATGAGGCTACTCCCATATGACTATATAGGAGATTTTTCAGCAGAAATTCTGCAGTCCAGAAGGGAGTGGCATAATATATTCAAAGTGCTGTAAGCAAAAAACTTCCAACCAAGAATACTCTACCCAGCAAGGCTATCATTCAGAATTGAAGGAGAGACAAAGAATTTTCTACACAAGCAAAAGCTAAAGTAGTTCACCACCACTAAACCAATCTTACAAGAAATGTAAAAGGGCCTTCTTTAAGCTAAAAAGAAAGGACACTAATTAGTACAAGAAAACATGTAAAAATTTCACTGGTAAATATATAATAAAGGTTGTGCACTAATCACTTACAAAGCTAGTATGAAGGTTAAAAGACGAAAGTGGTAAAAATAACCTTAAGTACAATAATTGGCTAAGGACACACAAAATAAAAAGATGCAAAATGTGACATCAAAAATATAAAACGTGGGAGAAGAAACGTACAAATGTAGAGTTTTAGACTGCATTCAAACTTAACTTGCTATCAACTTACAATAGACTGTTATATATATGGGTTATATATGTGAGCCTCATGGTAACCACAAAGCAAAAACCTATAGTAGATACACAAAAGATAATGAGAATGGAATCTAAACATAACACTAAAGAAAGTCATCAAACCACAAGGGAAGAGAGCAAGAGAAGACGACAGGAACAGACAGGATCTACAAAACAGCCAGAAAACAATTAACAGAATGGCAGTAAGTACATACCTATCTATAATTGCTTTAAATGTAAATGAACTAATGCTCCATTCAAAAGATACAGAGTGGCTGAATGGATAAAAACAAGACCCTTCTATATTCTGACTACAAGAGAATTGCTTCAGATCTAAGGATACACACAGACTGAAAGTGAAGGGATGGAAAAAGATATTTCATGCAAAAGGAAACCGAAAGAAAGCTGGGGTAGCTACACTTGTATCAGACAAAATATACCTAAAAACAAAGACTGTAATAAAAGACAAAGATGGGCATTACATAATGATAAAGAGATCAATCCAATAAGAAGATAAAACATTTGTAAATATTTATGCATGCAAAACAGGAACACCTAAATATAAAAAGCAAATATTAATAAAACTAAAGTGAGAAATTGACAGCAATACGGTAATAGCAGGGGACTTAACACTCTGCTTACATCAATAGATAAATCATCCAGATTGAAAACCAGTAAGGAAACATAAGCCTTAAGCAACAAATGAGACCAGATGGACTTAATAAATATATATAGAACATTCTATCCAAAAGCAGCAGAATATACATTCTTCTCAAGTACACATAAAACATTCTTCAGGATAGATCACATGTTAGGCCAAAAAACAGGTTAAGGTGATACATCACATTAACAAAATGAAGGATAAAAATCATATGATTATCTCAATAGATGCAGAAAATGCATTTGATAATATTCAACATCTATTTATGATAAAAACTTCCAACAAAGTGGGTATAGAGGGAACGTACCTCAACATAATCAAGGCCACCATATACAACAAGCCCACAGTTAACATCTTACTCAACAGTGAAAAACTGAAAGCTTTTCCTCTAAAGTCAGGAACAAGACAAGAATGCCCACGCTCACCACTTTTATTAAACATAATACTGGAAATTTTAGCCAGAGCAATTGGGCAAGAAAAAGAAATAAATGGCATCCAATTTGGAAAGAAAGAAGTAAAAATGTCACCATTTACAATATTTAATTCTTAATTGGATCCTGAACCACATCCTCTCCCTCAAGAAAACAAACAAAAACAGCTATAAAGGACAATTCTTGGGAAAATTAGGGACATTTGAATATGGACTATATATTTTACAGTTCTATTGTACCAATGTTAAATTTCCTGAGTATAATAATTATATTGTGATTATGTTAGAGAATGTCCTTTTTCTTAGGAGCTATGTACTGAAATATTTAGCAGTGAAGTGTTAGGATACCTAAAACTTACTCTCGTGTATAAAAGCAGGGCTGGGAGGAGAACATGAGTACAACACAGAAAAATACTGGGAACTGGTGAGTCTAAGGGAAAGGATATGGGTGTTAATTTATATTATTCTTGCAACTTGTAAGATTTAAAACTTTTCAAAATTAAAAAAATTAGATTAAAAGAGTCAGATGTTTTTAAAGGATTACATAGAAGACATTCCAAAACCAACTATGTTGCCATCTGCCATTCAGTTATGGTTATGAAGGCTATAACTTGAGTCTTTTACACTGTATTCTACTTCCTCTTCTTTCATTCTCCCTCAAACCTCTGATCAGTTTTTCACTCCTACCACTCTACCCAAACTGCTCTTAACAAGATCTTCAATCTTACTCAATTTCAATAACACAAGACATATTTGATTAGTCCATCCTCTAAATATTTTCTTTGCTTGGTCTCCAAGATACTCCTGTTTCATTTCTCCACCTACCTCATTGTCCACAACTTTTCAGATTCTTTTGACTGACTCTCCTCTCCCCCATCTTTAAACACTACAGTTCCCCAGTCTTCTGTCTTCACTCACTTCATCTCTATCTACAGTAACTCCTTTACTGTTATCCACCCCGATAGCTTTAAATACTACCCAAATGCTGATGACTTGCAAATTTATGTCTCTAGCCCCAGACCCTCCCCAGAACTCCACATTCATATAGCCAATCGCCTACCCATCATCTCCACTTGAATATGTAAGAGATTTCAAATTTAACATGTCCAAAATTGAATTCTTTTATTTCCTCCCCAAATCATATCCTTCCCAAACTTTTGCATCTCAGTGAATGGCAACTAAATTCTTACAGTTATTAAGATCAAAATCCCCGGAGTCATCTTCAATTCCTCTTTTCTCTAATCTATATGCTATCAGCAAATCGTGTCAGCTCTAACTTCAAAATATATATGGCACCTTATCACTTCTTATCACTCCAGTGAACACCTGAGTCCAAGCTATCACGTCATCTTCCATGGACTACTGTAATTCGCTCCAGGTGTCCCTACTTCCGCTCTTGCACCACTAACAGTTCTAGTCTCAACAAAGCAGCCCAGAATAATCCTTTTAAAATTAAACAAGAATATGTCCCTTCTCTTTTCAAAGGCCTTTAGTAGCTTCCTGGTTCACTCAGTAAAAGCTAATACCCCTCACATGGACTACAAGGCCCTACAATATTCATTCCCTTGCTGCCACTCTGGGCTTATCTCCTTTTATTGCCCTCACCTCTAGGTACAGCACTATAGTCAAATTGTCTGCCCTACTATCCCTGAACAGGACAGGCCAATGCTGCATGTAAAGGAAGAAAACAGAGTAGGGAGAAAACTCATGAATTAATAGTACTTAAGGGCCTGGGAAGCAGAATAAGACTCTGAATAGAATACAAAGTGAGGCCAAAGAGGAAGATGCAAAAAAAGAGAAGTTCATCAAAGTAATATTTATTAACAGTGAAAAAAAGGAATAAGGAGAACTAACTCACAAATATAATAGGGAACAGAGTAAAAATATCATGCATTAAAAAATAGGACATTAACCCATTAAAGTGGTTATTTCTGTATGAGAGTATCATGAGTGCTTTTATTTCTTCTTCACACATCCCTGGTATTTTCAGAGGTTTAAGCCTTGTTAGGACTGGTCTATTTCAATTTTGCCCAAACTCCTATGGTTTGGTCCTTGCTCTAAGGGCATGGCCCTCACTTACAGGGTATGGGTCTTCAGGGGTTTCAACAGAAAGCCCAAAATATTTTACCAAGGCCCCTACAATGCCAGCCCTTGAAGTCTACTATTTTTCTCACCAGTATTAGGTGGCTGGTGAAGTCTACTCAGTTTTTTAGCCTGCTAGCTGTACTCTTCTACTAAGATTCCTGGAGTCTTGCAAAGCCCAAAAGAAGCTAGGACTCACTCAATCACATATGGGGAATTTGTATGCAAATTAAGGTCCTAATTCTCTGGGATTCCCTCCTCTATGGGATTTTGCCTCTTAATTTCCAGCCTCTTTGAGAGTTCCAAACTCCAATTCATGTTTCCTCAGCCCTAAAAGACTACCACTTTCTGTTCGGGGTCTGTTCCACCACATCACAACAAACTGAAAAGTTCTGTAGGAAAAAAAGCCAAAGTAAATATGAACTCTCCTTGTGTGCATCCCTTCCCTCAAGGATCTCAGTCCCTCAACGTCCTGCCTACACTGATTGCTCTTCAGCACCTGCAGAAAAATCTTTTAAAATATTTTCTTCAGATCTTAGAAATGTTATTCTGGACCATCAATCTGCAGGAGGTTTATATACTGAATTAATTCTGGGTAGTTTTCTAAGATGTACAACTGAAAGACTATTTCTCTGCTTCCAATAAATACAGCTTCTCTGTGTAATTCTTTACAGCCATATCTGCTCTGCATTGCTGAAACAAAATGAATCCAGGTAGGGATTCTTCTGCTAGCAAAGTGTTCCCCAACTGCCTTTATGACTGTTATAAATAGAGTAGATGGCTCCTGGATTTAAGATGAGTCCCTTGGTAATAGGAAGCGTATTAATTGTCTGGCACTTCCTGAAGCACTCTATTTCTGGATCCCTAGACACTCTCCTTTTCTCAACTCACCTCCATGCACCTTCTGACCAGTTCAGCTCTCACCAGCCCCATTACTGACCAAAATGTTATAAACCAGGGGTATTATTTTTGCATTTGAAGGTGGGCCATTCACATTCACAAAATGTATTTTATTAGCACTTTCCTAAATATACGCTTTCCTGATCCTGGTCTAGATACTCTCTTTTCCTTTTTCCACACAACTTCTATCCAGTCTTGATGCTTTAGGCAGTCCTTACTTATAAACTTGAGGTGGCATATTATTTGTTGCAAAGGTTCACTAACAGGATTTTCAAGTTTTCTTTCTCTCTATCTTTCTGTCTTTGATGTTTTCTAAAAGGAGAAGGGGACAAATAAGAAGTATGCTGGTCACGCATTCATCTCAGAATCTTCTCAGTTATCATCTTACTATGCCCCAATAACAAATTTTATCTTGGAAAGCATACCAGTCATTTACTAATAACTCTCATCTCCAATCTGCCCTTCTAGGAACTGATTCTGCGGCTGGGATTTGCAAACTTTTGTTTCACACACTTCTTTGTCAGCACAGGGCACTAGAAAGACATTGGGAAAAGGGAGGTAAGGAGAAGTGTTTCTTGCTGTTCCTATAAAAAATTCCTCACCAGAGAAAAATGGTTTCAGTCTCTTGTTGCTTTTGGCATTCTCAGAAACAGCCTCACTGCCCTTCTTCATACACACTAGCAGCAACCATGTGACATCCCCTCCTCAGACGTTTGAGCTCCAGCGTCTCAAGACCCATCTTCCAAGTTCCTGGGTTCTGGTATTCCCGACCTATTATCTTTTGCATTCCCAGCCATTAAAATGTAGACTGCTTTCCACAGTTATTATTCTGGTTTATATCAGTATTTCCTCTTTTTTTCTTTCACTCCTCAAACATGTATAAAGAATTTCCCATATTAAATTCTACCTTGTAAACTGACTCATAAGTTTCTTCCTCCTGACTAAATCCTAACTTACCACAAGGTTACTCTGATGTTTACTCAACCTCTGGTACTAGAAACATAATTTCTAGTACCAAAAGCTATCATATTTATATAGTAACAATAAATGTTATATTTTAAAATGAAAATTTTTAAAAAATAAAATCAATTTTATAATACATATTTATAACTTTAAAAATAGGACATGACAGAAGAGAATTTTTAAAAATCACTCACAATCCAAATGTGCAAAAACAACAAATGTTAACATTTTGATATATTTACATTTTGTTTCTCAAATGTGTGATCAAACCATGTATCCATTTTGTACACTGCCTTTTTATCCCTAAGGTATGCCTTTAATGTTTTTTGAATCTCTATTTGAAAAAAGAAAAGATTTTAAAAGTCGTCCTCACTTCGGCATATAGAAATTAAATGCCAAATTTATCATTTACTTCTATCCTATCAAGGACTATTCTCAAAACAGTACATAATTAAAAAAACATACTGTATGCATAATTGTTTTTATAAAATTCACAGCTCAGGTTACCTTTCTAGTATATAGGAAAAGAGATTAAAGTTGTCAGTATTTTAAGAAAAAATTACGTCCTTGGAATTTTATATGATAAAACAAGCAAATTTTTGGCAGGAAAACATGCCAATAATATATTTACACAATGAACCAAAAAGAAAAATGTCTTTCTCTACAACCCATAAAAATTGTAAATAAATTTAGTATGGCCAACTACTCACCCCCTATTACTGACAATTGCCTTTTTCAAATGAATGTAATTTGCAGGGAAGATCCCCTGTAAAAAAGAAAAGATTTCCCATTAGAAAAAGTAATTTATGATTAACATCTCATATATACTAAAATAGCAGTCAGCTTTTAGCAGAAAAATACTCTATCAACAATATAGTATATCTCTCAATGTAGCACCCACTTTGCATATTAATTAAAAATGCAAAGTTGTACAACTGTCTTAGATAGGAATTTCATTGTCATTTGTAATCAGAGTCTATCCTCAGGGAAAACTGTGGTCCTAAGCAACTACAAACAATTTTTTTAAGTTACAGATTGGAAATGTTCCATCAAATCATTCTCAGGATATAGACTTATATACAGAGCCTGACACGAATATACAAAACCAACCACATAATCTAATCAACAACTTACAGATTATCCAGCTCTGAGCTAGAGAAATAGTTCTCAGACTCTGACTCAAACATTTGTATTCACAAGAATGAATCAATTTGGGAGCTCCTATAAATATTTCTTATTTTACTCTTTTCAAATGGTTTCCACTTTGATATCTGCCATAATTTGATTTCAATTCCTAAGGAATAAAAAAAGTATTCTGTTTTAAAAAACAATTAAGTTTTCCAATCAATGTTTCACTCCATATCATTATGTATGAAACTCCCTTCAAACAGATCACAGATTGCCTAAATTTTTTTTTATACTCAGGCCCACACCACTACCAATAATAAACTCAATTTATACAAGACCATCAGCAGCTGCACTACAGTAATGCATTTTAAGGTTTTCAGTGAACACATCTTTTAGCTCTTTGGTTAAAATTTTTCCAAAGTATTTGATTTTGTTTTGATGCTACTGTGAATGGGATTGTTTCCTTTATTTCTTTTCCAAATATTTCATTGTTACAAGTGTATAGAAACAACTAAATTCTGTGTTAATTTTACATTCTGAAATTTTACTGAATTTGTTGATTAGTTCTAACCCATTTCTGGTGAAGTCTTTAGGATTTTCTACGTATAATAGTGTATCACCTATAAACAAATACAATGTTACTTCTTCCTCTCCTATTTGGATGCTTTTTATTTCCTTTTCTTACCTGATTGCTCTGGCTATGACTTCCAGTACTATGTTGAATAAGAGTGGCGAGAGTGGATATCCTTGACTTGTTCTTCATCTTAGAGGAAAAGCTTTCAATCTTTCACCACTGAGTATGATGTTAGCTGTGGGCTTGTCATACCTGGCCTTTACTACGTTGAGGTATGTTCCTTCTAAACCCAATTTGTTGAAAGTTTTATTCATCAACGAATGTTGTATTTCATCAAATACTTTTTCTGCATCTATTGAGATGATCATATGATTTTTATGTTTCATTCTATTAATACAGTGCATCCCTTTTTTTTTTTTTTTTTAGGAAGACTGGTCCTGAGCTAATATCTGTTGCCAATCTTTTTTTTTTTTTTTCCTCCCCAAAGCCCCAGTACGTAATTGTATATCCTAGTTGTAGGTCATTCTAGTTCTTCTACATGGGATGTCACCACAGCATGGCTTCATGAGCGGTGCATAGATTCATGCCCAGGGTGTGAACCAGTGAACCCTGGCCCACTAAAGTGGAGTGCACAAACTCAACCACTCAGCCACAGGGACGGCCCCCCAGTGTACCACATTTACTGATTTGCAAATGTTGAACCATCTTTGCATCCCTTGGAAAAACCCCACTTAATCATGGTATATGATCCTTTTAATGTGCTGTTAAATTCAGATTGCTAATATTTTGTTGAGAATTTTTGCACCTATATTCACTAGGGATATTAGCATATAGTTTTCTTTTCCTGTAGTTTCCTTATCTAGCTTTGGTGTCAGGGTAATGCTAGCCTCAGGAAATGAGTCTGGGAGTGTTCCTTCCTCTTCAATTTTTCTGGAAGAGTTTGAGAAAGATTGGTGTTAATTATTCTTTAAGTTTAGTAGAACTCACCAGTGAAGTCATCTGATCCTGGATTTTTCTTTGTTGGGAGATTTCTGACTACTGATGCAATCTCCATGCTTGTTATTGAACTGTTCAAATTTTCTATTTCTTCCTGATTCATTCTTGGTAGAGTGTATGTTTCTAGAAATTTACCCATTTTTTTCTAGGGTTCCAATTTGTTGGCATATAACTGTTTATAGCATTCTCTTATGATCTTTTGTATTTCTGTGGTGTCAGTTTTAATGTCTCCTCTTCCATTTCTCATTTTATTTGTCTTTTGTCTTTCTTAGTCTATCTAAAGGTCTGTCAATTTTGTTTATCTTTTAAAAGAACCAGCTCTTAGTTTCATCAATCTTTTCTATTGTTTTTCAGTCTCTATTTTATTTATTTCCACTCTGACCTGTGTTATTTCCTTCCTTTTGCTAAATTTGGGCATAGTTTGCTCTTCTTTCTCTAGTTCCTAGAAGTATAAAGATAGGTTGTTCACTTGACATCTTTCTTTTTTGTTATTGTAGACATTTATCCCTATAAACCTCCCTCTAAAAACTGGTTTTACAGTCTTCCATAGGTTGTGGCCTGCTGTGTTTCCATTTTCATTTGTGTCAAGATGTTTTTTATTTCCCTTTTGATTTCTTCTTTGACCCACTGGTTGTTCAGGAATGTGTTAATTTCCACATATTTGTGAATTTTCCAGTTTTCTCCTTGTTACTGATTTCTAGTTTCACACCGCTGTGGTCAGAAAAGATACATGGTATGATCTTGTAAAATTTGCTAACCCTTATTATATAACCTATCATGTAATCTATTCTGAAGAATTTTCCATGTACAATTGAAAAGAATGTGTATTTTCCTGCTGATGAATGGTACATTCTATACGTGTCTGTTAGGTACACTTTGCCCAAAGCATTCCTTGTTGATTTTCTATCTGGATGATCCATCCATTGCTGAAAGTAAGGCAATGAAGTCCACTACTCTTATTGTATTGTTTTCTACCTCTCCCTTCAATCTGTTAGTATTTGTTTAATATATTTAAAGGCTCTGTTTTGGGTGCATATATATTTATGATTGTAATATCTTCTTAATGAGTTGACCCATTTATCATTATATAATGATCTTTTTTATCTTTACTTACAGTTTTTGGCTTAAAGTCTATTTTGTCTGATATAGGTATAGTTATCTGTACTCTCTTTTGGTTTCCACTTGTACAAAGTCTCTTTTTCCATCCCTTCACTTGCAACCTATATGTGTCTTTAAAGCTGAAGTAAGTCTCCTGTAGGCAGCATATAGTTGGGTCTTGTTTTTTTAAATCCATCGAGCCACTCAAGGCCTTTTGATTGGAGAATTTAATACATTTATATTTAGAGTAACTATTGATAGGTAAAGACTTACGAATGCCATCTTACTAATTGTTTCTGGCTGCTTTATAGTTCCCTTATTCCTTCTATCTCTTTTGCTGCTTTCCATTATGAATTGATGACTTTCCATAGCAGTATACTTCTTTGATTGCCATATCTTTATCTTTTGTGAATCTATTGTAGGTTTTTGCTTTGTGGTTACCATGGTGCTTACATAAAACATCTTACAGAGATAACAGCAAAAGCTTCTGATAAATCCTTCACTATGAATTTTCTTGGGAGTTCTTCTTTTTCTTGTCTTTCTGTTTCCTTTTCTCTTGCCTCTTCTTCAGCTATGCATTATTATTCCAGTTCCAACAACTCCTCATTTGTCACATCCTCAGGAACCACCTCTAGGAGTGCCTCAATGCCATCCTCATCCACACTCAGGTTAAAGTTGTTTGCCATCTCAACCACAGCCTTGTTGATTTTTGCAATCTCCTCATTCTTGGAAAATCCTCTGAAGTCATGGATGAACTTCTTGAGTGTCTTCTTTCAGATGCCATTCATACACTCCTTAGTGACATCACCCCAAGCCCAAGCAAGGTTACTGATGCAGTCACAGATGTCACAATCCTTCCAGAAATACATCAGTGTCTTCCTCAGTTGCAGCAATAGTCTGGACAAAGGTCCTTCTCAGGCAGTAGGCCTTAAAAGCTGCTATAACCCCTTGATCCATTGGTTGAATCAAAGAGGTGGTGTTTGGAGGGAAAAACACTGCTTTGATATTGGGATGAAAATCACCAATAAAAGGAGGATGTCTGGGAGCATTATCAACAATAAACAAAATCTTGAGAGGTATGTTACTCTCCAAGTAGGACTTCTCCATGTTGCTAGCATAGCAATGCAAGAGGGCATCTTGGAAGAAGAACTAGGTCATCCATGACTTCTTACTGCTCCTGTAGAACACTGGCAGTGTGTGCTTACTGACATGCTTGAAGGTCCTGGGGTTCTCACTGTGCCAGATCACAAAGGGTTGCAATTTGTAGCCTGCAACATTGCCCCCACACAAGACTGTTATCTTGTCTTTAAAAGCCTTGAAACCTCGCATTGATTTGGCCTCCTTATGGATGAAAGTCCTTTCAGGCACCTGTTTCCAGCATAGGGAGGTTTCATTCACATTGAATATTTGCTCTGGCCACATAATTTTTCTCCACAATCAGCTTATCTAGAGTTTCAGCTGCCTTCACATCAGCACTCGCAGATTTACCACTCACTTTCACATTATGTAATTAATAATGATTCTTGAATTGTTTAAACCACTCAGAGATAGCAGTAAGTTCAACATCATAGTCAGGTCCAGGCTTTTCTTTCAACATTGCAAACAAACTTTTCGCTTTGGCCATGATTGTCATGGTGCTGAGAGGGATATGCTTTTGCATCTGGTCTTCACTCAAGCTCATTAGAAGTTTCTCCATGTCTAATATAGGTGCTTCTCACATTTTTGTTAGTCTCATTGCCTTCAATAAAGCAGATCCTTTAATAGCTTCTGTCAGTTTGTTCTTGTTCTTCAAGATCGTAGCTATGGTGGAATGAGATGTGCTTGACTGACAAGCAATAACCGTCACTGATTTTCCACCTTCATAGTCCTTAAAATCACTTTTAATTTAATTTCTGGGTCAATCATTTGACATGGCCACTTACTGGCAACATGTGCAGTGAATTTTGTATGCTTGGGGCCATGATGAACAA